TGTTGTCTTTGGGAAAGCGGCTTTAGCACCAGGGTTTGTAGCTCCAAATCCCAGGCGGTGGGCGCGTGGGCCAGCAGCCATGCCAATCCCCTGCCCATGTCAGCCGGCTGACGTACGTGGCCCTTGCTTCCTGGCTGTGGTGCTCGCAGAGCCGAGCCTGCCCTCCACCCCCTCCAGCGGCTCTGCTGCCGCTCCAATTCACAAGCACAGGCAGCGCTGACTCATCCCTGGTCCCCGCTCGCTCGTCACACGCGCTCCACGGGGCCAGGGTGCTGGTGTCTGGCTCCCAACCAGCTTTCGGGGGCAAGCCAGGAATAAAAGCCCATTCCTCCCCCTTCAGCTGGCAGGCTGACGTATGAGGCCCATGTGGTGACTTTAATGTTTAATTCATGGCTGGGAGTGAGTCACCTGGGGGGGGGAGGAATTAGCACTGGGGGGAGAAACCTCAGCTGGTTTTCCTCTCCCTCCTGCCCAGCTCCCTAGTGCCGGAGCTGTTCCCTCCCTCCAGCCCCTTGCTGAGGATTGACCCTTCAGTCTGGTTGGTGCCTTGCAGTCAAATCTCAAAGCATAATTCCCCAGGGCTAATCAAAGGGACACTCCTGTGTGGCTGCTGCTGTCCTTCCCCTTTGGTTTACACCTTGAAACATTAAAAAACCAAAACAAACCAACCTCATCTGTTCCTTGCCTTTAATGGAGCTTTTTGAACTCGTTTTCTTGCTGCCCATGCTGGAGAAGGAGACTAGAGCAGTGTGATTGTGGACAAGAGGGCCTAAGTGCCCCTTCCGAGATGGGGGCTCCCAGGGTGCCAGACACTGGCCCTGCCCTGCCTACAATCTCCATAGACAAGGCAGCTAATGGGAGGAAGGAAGGTTGGTTATGCCCATTATACAGCTGAGGCCAGAGACGTGCCCATGGTCACATGGAGAGTTGGGGGCAGAATCAAACCAAGGGCTCCTTAACCACACAGTCAGACTCCTTCCCTGCCTTGCTCTGGTTCTCCTGCAGGCTGGCGCTGCTCGGGGAGGGTCGTGGCTGGCGCTGGGGGGGCGGGTCATGGCTGGGTGGAAGGGAGTCTTCAGCTGATGGTTTGAACAGGGACGTTTCTCAGGACTGGGGGTGTTCATAGTCTTTTAACAAAACCTAATTCTGGGTCATAAGTTCCCTCCCCCTCCCCAATTTAACCCCCTAGCTGTGAGGCAGAACGCCCTGCTAGCCCTGTTTTATAGAGCCACAATGGGCCTTGCCTATGGTCATGCCACAGAGTCAGGGTGCCTGGGTTCTAGTCCCGACTTGGGCACTGGCCTGCTGGGTGACCCTGGGCATGTCACTTTCCCTTCCTGTGCCTCATTGTCCACAGAGGGGTTAGTGAGACTGACCTCCTTGAAGCACTGGGAGAAACTGATGGCTGAAAGGTGCGATGGAAGTGCAGGTTATTTTATAGGGCTGGGGGCAGGGGCTCCTGTCCTGGCCTGGAGGGGGCTGCCCTAGCTGTGGTCTCCTGATCACCCCTTGCCCCTGGGGCTCTGCGTGGGGCTTATCCTTGGTGCTGCAGGGGAGTCTTAGTGAGAGCTGGCCTCTGGAAGGAGTCTCTAGGGGTACCTCTGCACTGCACACCGAATCAGAGCCCAGGTCAGCTGGCTCAGGCAGGGGCTGCGGGGTTACAACTGCAGTGTAGAAAGTGGGACTCTCGGATCCTGGCCCCTCACTGGCTTTCAGCCCAGACATCTACCTGGCCTGAGCCGGAGACTCAGCCCCACCTGTTTTTCTTTGCAGTGTCCCTGTTCCCTTGGAGGCTCAGTGGTGCCTGTGTGTTAACAGCTGGGCTTCGCCCATGCCAAGACACGCTGGACAAAGTGGGGGCTGCAGGGCTGTTGGGAATTCCCACCCAAGCCCCTTCCTCCCTCTCTCGCCTGCCCTGCCCAGGGTTATGGCAGAGCGTTAGGCTGAGATCCCACCCACTGCCCAGGCCTCAGGGTGGCCGCTGACTTAGCCTGGCACTTTACCCCTGTGTGTGTGTGTGACCCCCACCATGCTCCCCACTGTAGTCAGCTGGAGTCTCCAGTCACCAGCGGTGCCATTCGCCCCAGACTTGGAACCAGGCCAGAGCTGCTCTGGGGGAAAATCAGGCCTGTGCCACCAGCCTGCTGCCCAGGCCCCATCCGCCTCTAACAGCGTCTTGTCTCCTCTCCCCTCTTCCCCAGAGCCTGTCTTGGAGCCTGGGCCAGCCTACGTCCCGCCATCCTCGCCCCAGCGCCGTGTCTCCCGGTAGCGGACTAAGCTTGCAATCCAAAAAGAGAAACCCTGGAGGAAAACAGAACCACCCTCTCCTTCCCCCTCCCAATCCCCCCTCTCAGCGGCGCCGGACCCCCGAAGCTGGCAGGGGCCTTCGACCTCCCCCCCCCCCATCTCTCTCCAGCTGTGCCCAAGCCAGCCCCTCCTCTGCATCGACTCTTTGCCAATCAAGACACCACCTCTGTTTTTTTTAATTTGGGATCTGGAGGGTGAGGTGGGTGGGGGAGGGCCTGGGTGGAGGTCTCCCCCTACGGGGCATGGGGGTATCCCCCTGCCGCCCCTCACTGAGTAGAATTGTGTAAAGCCATGGCTGTGCACTTTATGGTTTAGACTACTGTTCTATAGATACATATATATATATATATATATATATTTTCCTCTTTTTTTGTTTATATTTGCGGTATATTTAGAGATTCCTACACATCGTGATGTGTTTAAAATAAATCCGACGAGGAAAAGAACCAGGTAGTGAGACCATCCAAGAACTGCACGCTGCCCGAGGGCTTGGGAGGGGGATTGGCCTGCGCTCTGCTGCGTCTTTTCTTTTTTTAAATTTTTTTTTTTTTAAAGAAAATAAACCAATCTTGCGAGGTGGATCTCCTGGTCGTCCTGCTGCGGGCAGCCACTGGCAGCTGGATCTCCCGGTCAGTGGTCCTGACCCTGTGCTAGCCTCATCTCAGGGTGGAGGAGTGGGGACTCCTCAATTCTGTTCCCAGTGCTGGGAAGGATGGGGGCCTGAGGGGCTAGCACGGGGAGAGCTTGGGTGTCAAGGCTCCTGGCGTTTCCCTGGGTAGGGAAGGAGTTTCTCAGTGGTAGCCGTGTTACTCTGTATCCACAAAAACAACAAGGAGTCCGGTGGCACCTTAAAGACTAAGAAATTTATTTGAGCATAAGCTTTCGTGGGTAAAAACCTCACTTCTTCAGAGTCTTTAAGGTGCCACCGGACTCCTTGTTGTCCAAATGTACATGGTGTCTCCCTATCTTTGTGTAGCCGGCACTGCCCTGGTCAGGAGCTCTCTGCTTCCTGTCAGGCCAGTGACTGTCCAGGCCTGAGCCGGGATAGAGACAAATCTCTCCTCTCAGGCTTCCTCCTTGGGGGAAAAGTCATAGCACAAGACTAACAGTGGGTCTGTGCTGGGGTGGCTGTGGCAGGTAGGGCCCCAGCTCAACCTGAGCTCCTCAAGTAGAATGCACCCCACTGGATGCTGCGAGCCTAGGGGAATGCCCTGGGGCTGCTCTTGCTGCCAACGCTGCCCTGAGCCAGCTGTAGGGGGCAGCGGTGCTGCTGAATCCTTGAGGGCCTAGGGCTCTCCCCATATAAGGGATGGGGCAGCAGGTCCCTGAAATCAGCTTTTGCTGCAGCAGCCAGGCCTGGCCCTCCCTCTACCTGCTCTTCGCAGGAATCCTGCTCATCTACCCTGCGCCTTGCATGATGGGCCTGCTGCCGGGTCTAGTGCAGCGGTTCTCAACCCTGTTTTGATGGGGTCGCCAGGGCTGGCCTTTGGCCCTCTTAGGGAGGCTTGGGTGGGCTCAGGCTTTAGTCTCCCATCCTGGGGTTGTGCAGTAATTTTTGTTGTAAGAAGGGAGTTGTGGTGCAATGAAATTTGAGAACCCCTGGTCTAGCGAACTGTAAATAGTCCCCATACCCCCTGTTCTTTACAGGTGCTGGTGGCCTGTGTCCAAGTCCGTCCTCTTGCAGGACAACTCTCCATTCGTTCACACAATGGATGACTTTAGGCTTCCGCTGCCTCAGCTGAGTCCCATCCCCACCCTCCGGCTTCTGTCAACAGCTGCCCTGCCTGTGCCAGGGGGTTGGTGCTGGGCACACCCTGCCACTGCTCATCTCTCTCCTGCTGTGGTGCTCACCAGTTGCCAGCTTCTTGGAGAGGGCAGCCCCTTCCCCAGGCCTGGGGAGCTAGGCCCAACTCATCCTGGACCCACAGTGGAGTGCCCAGCATTCACCCCCAGCCCTGGAAGGAGCTGTCAGCCCCTGAGCCTCGCTGGGCTCCGTTCCAACAGTTGCAACGGGCTCTGCCAGGCTGGGTTGTCCTTAGAAAGGCAGGTTCAGCCAGTGCCGAGGCCTTGGCCAGGGGCCCTGGGCCCCCTTTGCAGGAGCGGAAGCTGCTACCTGCCTGCCTGCAAGGATTGCTTCCAATGCTGGTGTCTTCTGCTCTGGAAGGGGTCACTGGGGAGAGGGGACATGCATGTCCTAGTTTCTGCAGGCTGGAAGGGCCTAGGGTGCTCAGCCAGGCTGATCCCCGGAGCATAGGCCAGAGCACCTTCTCCAGGAGTCCTGCTTCTGGCCCAGGAATTTGGGGTTGGGCTAAAATAGGTCTTTTGGAAGGAGCCCTCCTGTCGGGTTTAAAGGGCCAAAGTCGCTGTGCCATCATTCTCTCCAGGGCACTGGGGCATGCCCAAATCAGAACAGCCCCCACTTGGTACTGGGGTAAATGATAGCAAGAGCAAATGGACCCTCCATGCTGAAAAGTTCCAGGGGCCCCAGGCAAGACTCACCCTCCTTGCTGTCAAAGCCTGGCACTTTAGTCCTAGCTCGACTGCCTCTGCCACCAGCTCCCTGGTGTGGGAGCCTGCCTGGTGCCCGTCCTGCTGCCCAGGAGGCCCCTGGAGCATGGTCCCAATGGGGGGGCTGGCCCTGGCTGCGTCGGGGGAGCTGACAGAAGGAGCTTAGGCAATAACAAAGCAGGGCAAACTCTCGACACTTGGTCTTTATAGGTTGAAAAAGGCAGAGTTGTGGTTTCATGTTAGTGCTTTGGACAGACTCTGCAGAGGAACGACCCAGCCTCTTTGATCACATGCAAATGTCGAAGCGCAGCCAGGAACGGGGGTGACAAGAGCACCAAGATGGGGGGGGAGGGCAGGATACGAATGTGGCTGGCATCTCCTCCCCCACACCCCACCCTGCCCCTCCCCCTTCCCCTGCGCTGACCGAGTCTTTCGGATAATAAAGCTTTTTGCTTCTCATCCTTTGATACATGAACAAAATCCCATAAAAAGCGGAACCTGCCCCCCCATGGAGCAGCAAATCCATCCAGTTCTATAAAAATCAATAAATAATAAATAAAGCCCATCACTTTGCTCCCTGGGGGAGAACTGGGGGGAGCCAGGTTTGGGGGGAGAGCAGTTCAAGGAGAAGCAGGAGGGGGGGTGTTGGCTTTCCAGGTATAAAGTTGTTGGGGGGAGAAGGGGAGTTAGGAGATCTGACTCCCCCTTTGCCCCATCTTGCCACCAGCCCCACAAGGCATGCTAGATCTAGGCCCTTCTCCCACTTGGGCCCAGTAATATAGGGAAGGAGAAAGGAGGAGCCAGTTAGTTTTTTGGGGGATGGGGAGCAAGCATTTCCCCCCCCCCCCCCGGGAAACTGATACCTGGGGATAGGCTCCAGTTCCAGGCCATCCCAGGAGCCGCCCCGCCCCATGGCACTGTGTGAGTGTCCATCCCACCCTCAATTTGGCACCTGGAGAATGAGATTTTTCTAGCAGCAGTTGCTGAAGGGCCTGTCCAGTTGGAAGCCTCAGCTTCTCCCCGCTTCCCGACCCAGGGGACGCAGCCCGGGGCAGATACGCATTCCAGCCGGGGCCCTGGTTACCCTCTGTATGGGGGTACTGGAGGCAGAGCTGCGGAGCAAGGCTCCTTCAGCCTCACTCCTCACTGGTTTTGGTGCGGTCCCCCCTTTTGCCCCTCCCCGCCAGGCCCTTGGCCTGGTTCAGTCTCAGTCCCAGGAGGGAAGTGAGTGACACCTGCCACCATCTCCTGCTGGCCCCTTGATTCTGCTTGGGACCTGGCCTCCCATCCAACTGCCCCACTGCTCCTTCCTCCCCTTTGGACCATCATCTCCTGCGCCCCCTCTCTAGCTGCTCCATGTACCCCCTGTCCCGTAGGTCCCAGCACCAGAGCTTCAAGCCAAGAGCCCATGAGCCTGCCCTGGGTCGAGATGTCCCCAGGGTGGGAAGAGGGAAGTAACTGGCACAAGGGGGCAGCAGCTTTCCCAGGCCTCAAACCTCCCCCACCCCCCCTAATGCGTTGCTGCCCCCAGCAATGCCTCCCTCCGGGAGAAACTTTGGAGCTGCCCTCCCCCTCCTTCAGTGGCCCATCTCCACTCCCAGCACCGCGGATCCCAGCCCCGATCCCTTCTTTGCAAGGACGATTCCGGACAGAGACGTTATTGCTTGTAAAAAATCAGAGAGAGAGAGAGGAGGGTGGGGGGCGTGGGGTGTGCAGGGGAGGGGCCATGCCCCAGGACTGGGGGGGAGGGGGGTGTCATATGTGCTACACAGCTCTACGGTGTGAGGTAAGAGTTTGGGGGGTTATTAGTACAAGTCCCTTAAAATCAACCTCCTGGCTGTGGAAGAGTCGCCTGCTTTGGCAAACACTCCTCGCCTCTGTAACAACCCCTTCCGGCTGCCAGGCCTGCATGGGGGCAGGGGCTGCTTCACTGGGGATCCCCCCCAGGACCCCGCCCTTGTGACAGGTGTGCCTGGGTGGATCTGTGCCCCCTGGAACCCACCCACATTGCAGGTGGGTCTGGGAGGATCTGTGCCCCCCTGGACCCTGTGGCGGGTACATCTGGGTGGATCTGTGTCCCCCTGGATCCCGCCCACGGGCGGGTACCTCTGTACAGATCTGTGCCCTTCAAAGCCCTTGAATGCAATGGGTACATCCAAGTAGACCCCCCACTCCAGACTCAAACAGGGCGGGCTGAGCCTGCCCTCTGCCCTGGACCGTTCCAAGGCGACAGGAACGTCCAGGCGGAGCCCGATCCCCTCGAACCGGGCGCGTCTGTCCGGGCAGATCCACACCCCCCTGCTGCCGTTCGAATGCCCTGAACGTGCTGGCAGTGCCAGCTGTGGAAGGGGTTGAAGCCCTGAAGCCTGACTCAGTGGATGAGTGAGCTCGGTCTGCTCTCCCGCCCCCTAGACGGGGCTGTGGTCGGGAGAGGCCACGGCCACCAGACACTCCGGACTCTCTCTCGATTTTCTCAAGTGCCCATACAGCCTGTCCTCGAGCCCCCCCATGATCTTGTCCATCAGCTCAGCCCCTAGGGGCTGGGGCCCACAGTTTGGGCCCTGGCCATCGCCAGGGCAATCTTCGTCATAGGGATCGGAAGCCAGCTTGAGGTCGCCAGCCAGTTCGGGCGGCTCCTCCTCGATCACCTGGATCTTGGCGTCGGCGTCGGGCACGGCAGAGCCGTCCCCGGCCTCGCCCGCCGCCTCGGTGCTGACGACGCGGGGCCGGGTGCCGTGGTAGCGGCTGTCCGGAGGGTAGCTGAGGCTGCCTCCCCGGCGCAGCGGGGTCCGGTGGCGCTCCAGGGCAGGGGGGTAGCGCCCACCGGGGTCGCTGTGCTGCTTGGAACGCTGCCACTGCTTGCGCAGGTGGGCGCGGGAGCGGTGCTTGGCACGCAGGGGCGAGTCGTCGAACTGCGGGTCGTGACGGACGAAGGCGTTGAAGAGGGCGTCCGTCTTCTCGTCGATGCTGTAGTCCCGCCGGGGCAGCGCATCCCGGGCTAGGAAGATCTGCCCATAGGGGGACCGGGCCAGGGGGCTATGGGGCAGCGGCCCCCCCACCGCCCCCTCTTCCTCCTCCTCTTCCTCGGGCTCGTGCCCCTCAAAGCTCTCAAAGATGGTGCCCTTGCGTCCGGCGCTGGTGAAACAGATGCGCTTCTCCGAGGCCGTCTGGCCCTTGGGATGCCCGTCCTCACCCGCCCGGCTCGGCGCCTCAATGGAGGCGTAGCCACTGTCCATCTGCAGCAGCTTGCGTGTGCCCGGCTCTGCTTCCGCGCTCTCCTGCCTGGGCCGGGCCCACGGCCACTCGTCCAGGCCCTCGGCTTCCTCCAGGGAAGAGGGGAAGGCAGGGATGCCACCCCCGGCCGAGCAGATGCTGTCGCCCCCATCGCTGCGCACGGAGTCCCGGTCGTTGCTCTGCTCGGACGAGGCGCACCGCTCCAGGGAGGCCCGCAGGCTCCAGATGTCGTGGTAGATGGTCTGCTGCTCCGTGCTGGGCGCCCTGGGGACGCTGCCCCCGCCCGCCTCTGCTGGCTCTAACCTGGGGGCAGAACCCACGAATGTTATAGCACCGGCAGGGCAGAGGGGCTGCCCTGGGAAGCAGCACGCAGACGCTGGACCAGCATTGGGCTGGCACCAACTCTGCACCAGCCTGGCGCCTTACGGAGACATTTTCATTTCTTACCATCCAACTGCAAGTCCTTGCAACCAGAAATTCCCACCCCTCTTGGTCCCCACTGCCAGCCCCCTTTCCCTCTGTCCTGATCCCCATCTCCCCCCACCCCGCCTTCTCCCCTCAGCATCCCCAGCTCCCTTCCCTTTCTGACCCTGCTGCCCCGTCCAGGCCTAGGCAGAGGGTAAAGGTTGCCCTGGGTATCTCTCCAGCTGACCCTGAGGCTTAGGTGCAGCAGGAGATGGCCCCAATCCCACGACTGTTCTGGCCGCGCTGGGGCGGGACTGGCTCTCCGCTACGCAGCTCCATGTGCCAACATTTAGCCTGGCAAAGGGAGTGACTGTCTCTGCCCTGCTTGGCCCTGATGGCACTAAAAGCACCAGGGGGCAGTCACCCAGGGGGAGGGGCTGGATGAGCCCCTCTGCCCCAGCAAGACAGGGCTTGGGGTGGGTGTCCGGCTCCAACCTCCTGCTGCCCCCCCTGTGCTGGCCAGGGTCCCTTTCCTTGCCAAGACCATTCCCCTGCCCTGCACCTCCCAAGCAGCTGCTGCCCCAGAGCTGTTGAGGGAGAATTCCAGGGCTCCCTGGGTGGATTGGGGGCCTCACCGCCAGACCTACAGAGGGCCTGTCGTGGGGCGACACTGGCCCTTGAAGCAATAAGAGGCCAGTGCACCTGTGACTGATAAGCCCCCTCCCAGCCGCTGCAGGTGGGCCAAGCAAAGGAGGAGGCGGGCCTGGGCAGATGGGAGGAGCCCAGCAAAGGGGTAGACGTCCAGCAGAGGGGCTGGCCTGCTGCCCAGCCCCGAGAGCTGCAGAACCAGAGCCAGGGGGCTGGCAAGGAGTCATGAGATTGGCCACTCTGAGGGAGATGGGCTGGAGGAGGGGGCGGGAGGTGCTGGAACAAGGGCAGAGAGGAACAGGACACCGAGCGCTGAGGGACACCCAGGTGAGGGAACCTGGAAGTGATGGCCCTGGAGCAGGGGTGTGGAAAATCGTGGTATCTTCCGCTGCTTTACTGTGCGACCTGGGAGGGCGGTTTTACCGTGAGCACCCTCCAGACAATTGGACATGCCTGTGAATAAAATATGCCCAGGGTGCAACTTTGCATGGGACATTGAGAGACTGAGTGCTTGTTATGGCTGAAATGAGGGGAAACTGAGGCAGGTGCTCCTGTCATGCCAGAGGGTGCCTGAAGTGGGGGGGGGGAGCCCTGTGACAAGGCCCTTCCAAAGGGGAGTGTGAATGTGGCTGAAATCTCTCTCCACCTATGACCTGGTTTCCTGGGGGTGGGAATGTCCCCTTCATTGACATCTGGGAATGAGACAACCCATCTCACCCCCTGGCCTTGTGCCCCGACCCAGCCATCCCTATCCCCTCTATCTACTGAAAAATACCTGCCGAGAGAGGGTGGGGGGCTGGAGGGGGATGGCAGGAAGGGCCCAGCCATGGGGCGGAAGGCTATGTCGTCTGTCCGGGCAATGTACTGGATGATGCCAGTCTGATGGGCGTCTCTGTCCTCCTGCTCCATGCTCTCGCTCGCCGCCCGCTGCCTCTGGAACTGACGCCGCTTGGGTGAGCCTGAAAGGCAGGCAAAGGCAAGGGGGGGATGTTAGGGGGGAGCGCCAGGAGAGGGGGGGGCTGAGGCGGTGGGGATGTCATTACAAGGCAAGATGGGCTCTGGGTCGTTTTTGCTGCGTTCGCTGGCCATTTCCAGGAATCACCTCACTGCTCTAATCCTACTGCCCCTACCCCGAGCACCTCCCATGGCAAATATGGGGTTCCCGCCCTGGGCATGCTGGGTAACAGACCCCGCCCAGGCTAACCGCTCTGACCCCTCTGGACAGGCTGATCTTCTCCGGCTTGTTCACTTGCCTTCACTAATGCGGCAGGGACCCAGCTGGGGCAGATCAGAACTGGCCACCGTGGAGCCTCGGCGGATTTACACCTGCTGAAGATCTGGCCCGTGTCTGACAGGTCACAGGGGGCGAGACCCACCTTGCTCCCCCCAGGGCCCCGGCGAGGCTGTGGGGTCCACTCCCGACGGCGGAGGTGGCCTTAGACAGAACCACCTGGCAGTGACCTGGAGACGTTCCCACGGGGCCCCAGGGGATGGGAGCTGGGCAGACAGGCACATGGGGCACAGAAGCGAGCCCCCCTGCTGCTGGGTCCACCGGCCCCTGTGTCTAGCAGCTGCCTGGGAGAAGCTAAAGGCTCAGTGGGGCCCCTGAGTTTGGATTCAACTGGATGGGGGATGGGCGGCCCCACCTCCTGGGTCCAGGACTGACCCTCCCTCCCACGAGGATTTGCGGGGGTGGGGGTGGGGCACCTACCTCTGGTTTCCAGGCTGGATGCGCGCTGGTTGCTCTCAATCTTCCACTTCTTGATCTTGAAGTAGGGGCTGGTGCCCTCGAGGCTGGCGTGACGCCGCAGGCGGGTGAAGAACTGCAGCACGGTGCCCTGGGCAGGGGGTGGCGGAGGCTCCCCGGGTCCAGTGCTGCCCGCGCCGGTGCCTTTCCCACTCCTGGCGGCCCCTTCAAACTGGGAGCGGGGGAAGGGGAGGGCCAGAGGGAGGGGGAGGAGTGACTCCTGGGGGTGGGTGCCGCAGAGAGCGATTGGAGGCGACGGGGCGGCAAGGAGCCAGGCACGGCACAGCGGACACGCACAATGCCAGGGCTGCCTGCCGGCCAGCCGGCCAGCCATGAACAATGCCCTCAGAGCTCGCGCCTGCCCCGTCCTGCTCCCAGAGCGTGCTGGGCACAGGACCCTGCCACCCCGCATGGGCCTACAGAGGGGAGTGGGAGGCAGAGCCCATATTGGTCTATTCCCAGCTCCCCTCAGCGCCAGCAAAAGGGTCTTAGGTCACCATGCTACGGAGCGAGGGTCCCCCAGTGTGACGGGGGGGGCATACACTGCAATAAAGACTGGGACAGTCCCACAACATTCAGGCTGCGCGGGAGGGGGCTACCCCAACTAAAGCCCCTGACTCCCAAAGACCATCAAAGTGCTTAACTCTGTACATAACTATAGAAATGCAGCCACCTCTGGGGAGGGAGGGGGCCAGGCAGGGCCCAGCACAACAGGCAGGAGGAGGAGGGAGCTGGCCAAGGGCTCCCCCTCATGGGGCCTGAGGGGCATTGGCTTTTCCTGGGCTGGTTCCACACTCGCCCCCTTCCCTGTTCTCCAGCTGGGACAGGGAAGAGTTGAGCTCGACCTGCCTGGGATCCGCAGCCGAGGGGAGTGGCACCCGGTGCTTGGCCTGCTAAGTCACCCCTCCAGGGCACACTGAGTCTGTGTGGGGTGCAAAGGGGCTGAGAGAGTCCCCACCCCCACCACTTCCAACCTCCTGCCCCCACTCCCCCTGCCATTCACTCCCCCCTGCTCCCCCAGCACCCACGGGTGCTGTGATCTCTCTCCCAGTCCATGGGGGGCAGGGGACTCACCGAAGGGCTCTCCCCAGAGGAGGAGGAGATGGATGGGCTGGCTTCGGCGAAACTGGTGTCCACGGTGGAGTTGTAGGTGTCGCCAGGCAGGGCGGAACTGGGGCACATGGTGTGGGCGGTCAGGGCTGTCTGGGGCAGGGTGTCCCCCGGGGGCTGTGGGATGGAGACACAGAGAAACCACTGAGGGGTGAGAGGGCAGAAGCTGGGGTGGGACTGGCCTGTCTTTGCCTCCAAGGTGCCTCCTACCCCATGACAGGAGAGGCTGTCTCTGCCCCCAGAGCTCCCCGTCTCCTTCCCCCACCGGGAGGGCTCTCACTGCCCCTAGAGCCCCCCTTCTGCCCTCTGGGAGGGGCAGTCTCTGCCCCCGGGGGCGAGTGCTGGCCCCAGCCCCGGCTCACCTGGAAGATGGCGAGGCTGGGCTTGGCCGGGGGCAGGCGGGGCGACATGGCCAGGCTGTTCTCGGTCGACTCGCACTCGTGGATGGTGATGATCCTCAGGGCGGGCGGCGGGACGTGGAGGTGGGTCAGCCGGGCGTTCTTGAGATGGTGGAAATCCCCCTCGGTCAGCGTGTACCTGCCACGGGGGGCACCAGGTGATGGGGAGTCGCCAGAGCCAGCCCCCTGCTCCCAACGCTACCCGCAGCCCCCCGGGCCTACTGCTCCACATGCCGGGACCCTCCCCATGATCCATCCTCCTGACGCCAGCCCAGGGCCCAACCTGAGGCGCCTGCCCAGCCTCATCCCTCGTCGGCCCAGCTCCTCAGCCTGCCCCACGGAGCCGGGGCATGGGCTGAGCCATCCAGCTAGGCGATAGACTCACGCCCACGTTGCAGGGGGCACTGGGTCAGTGCCCATCTGGGGGCCCTGCACTTCCTCCCCTGCCCTGCCCCGTACCTCCCCCACATACCCTTCCCTCACCCCAACCCTGACACATAGTCCCCCACCCCCTTACCCCAAACCTGACCCATAACCCACCCTTTCCACTCCTCCCGTTCCCCATCCCCCCACCCCAACCCTGACCCATAGTCCCCCACTCCCTTACCCCAAACCTGACCCATATCCCACCCCTTCCATTCCTCCCCTCCCCACCCCATCCCCCCCACCTTTCCCTCACCCCCAACCCTGACCCATATTCCCACACTCCTTCCCCCCACACCCATACCCCCACACCCCCTTACCCCAAACCGGACCCACATCATTCACTCCTGCCCTCCCCCCAGCCTTTACCCCCTCCCTCTCCCCGCTGCACCCCTCTGCCCCTCCCCCCTTCCCATACCTCCTCCCCTTCTCCTGGGTCTTCTTGCTCTGCTCGAAGAGCGCGGCCTCGTTAAAGGAGACCCGGCGCCCGGTGGAGGAGCTGGACGAGAGGAAACGCTCCGTCTCCACATCCCGGTAGCTGGAGGCCGACAGGCAGTCGGGGTCGTCCACCTTGATGGTGATCTCTGTGGAGACGGGGGAGCAGAAGTTCAGCCCCCCATCTCACCAGGCAGGGGGGTGGCGGGGGAACCCCCTCTGGTGGGCACAGGGCCGGCTGGTTCAGCAGCCTGGCAGCCCCGCGGCTGTGGGGCAGTGGGATGTAGAGAAAAAGGGGACGAGAGCCTGGCAGCCCCCGACCTACAGGGCTGAAGCAGCACAAGCCAGTGCCAACTGCTGGGAGGCTGGTGTGTGACACCAGCCCCTGGGCTGAGATTTGGCAAACTTGCTCCACCCAGGGGCTTTCAGGGAGCCCGTAGGCCAGCGCCCTCAGGCCCCAGCCAGCCGCTGGAGGGGACAGGCTCAGGGTCTCCTGCCCCTGGCTATGGAAGCCAGCAGGGGGGTGTCGGCAGGGGGCTGGGCAGAGCCCAGCCAATATGTGTGCCCGGTCCGGCCCTTCCCAGCAGGGGGCACCGCTCCACCGTGGCGGGTATTTAGTAACAGCGCCAGGCAGCTGAGTGGAGTGAACAGCCCCCATGGCTCGGCCCCGGTGGCGGGGCTGCAGGGGGAGGCATGAAGCACCCCAGCAACTTTCGGGTGGCAGCTCCTGGGGCTCCCCCACCCCAGTCCTTCAGTGCCATGGATAGGGGCAGCCAAAGCCCCCTACACCCCGTCTCCCCCGCAGTGAACAGCAGGTATATTTACACGTGATGGGGGTTGAGATGTAGGGAAACGGTCTCCATGACAACGCATAGCCAGCCCTAGCGACCATCTCCATGGGCAGGGCTGGGGCTGGCCGGGCTCGGGGGCTGGGGGGCGCTCACCTTGCGGAGGCTGAGAGTCATCCAGGTACGTGGTGTTGGTTTTCTCAGGGTCATCACTGGCTCTGCAAAGGGAGAGGGAGAGACAGACGCATGGGGAGGGACAGAGAGATGGACAGAGGGAGCAGGGCCCAGAGAGGGGAGGGAGCAAAGGATGGATGGAAAGGAGAGATGGGTTATTCTCAGTGTCCCTCACCCCGCAGGCCAGTGGTGCAAGGGGCTGCTTAGCCACGCAGGTCCCTCCAATCACGCCCCCCACCCACCATGCACACACAGGCAGGGAGCCAGACACCGGGCCACATGCCCCGTTGGCAGGGGAGTGGGTGCTGGTTCATGCACAGTCACAGACTGGTGCCCTCAGTACAGCTCCCACGCCAGTCTCCAGGGCACATCCGTGCTCTCACACCTGTGCCATATATCGCACGCCCCCACACCTGTGCCAGTCCATTCAGCTCACACCCCAACACCTCTGCTGGTCCATACCATGTGCAAAAACACCACCAGCCCGCCCAGTGCATACCTACCCCATTGCCGGTCTGCACAACACCCCCAAACTGGTCCATTCCGGCACACACCTGGCATGCTCATTCCACCCCACAGCAGGCCGTAGAATGTGCTGGTCCGTACATTGCACACACATTCCGGTCTGTAGGGCACACACCCCCACACCGGCCCATATGGCACACACCCACACACATGCTCCAGTCTACACAGGCATTATGTACACATCTCCATGCACGGGGTCTTAGGACTGGATTCTGGAGTCCAGCTGTCCCTGGGAGGGGAGGGGGAAGCTATTCTGGGGCATCTCACTTTGGTAGCCCTGGGGGTCTCTCATCCCAGGAGCCAGTGGGAGATTTCAGGCCTTTGCTAAGGGATTTAATCTGTATTAGGAAAACCCAGTTGTCTCTGGGATGGCTGTGGACCATGGGAACTGGGCTGGTACAGGGCATGGCGCAGAGCTGCAGGCAGGGACTGGGTGGATGCAGGGAACTGGGGTGCTGGGCTGGGTACAGGGCGCATGCACGGGGGTGCAGGGTCAGGTGCAGAGCCGGCTGAGGGGCAGAGCGGAAACACAGGAGGCACCTGGATTGGGGACTGGATGCAGTGCAGGTGTATGGGTCCAGGATGCTAGGCTGGGTGTAGGGGATGAGAGTTGAGGTCAGTGCAGGGGCACAAGGGTGCCAACTTGGGTGCAGCGACAGGCTCTGGGCTCAATGGACAGCTCAGCATGGGCCTTGGCTTCAAGCCATTGGCAGCTGGGAGAGGCGCTTTCCCCGTCTCTCCGACTCAGAGGCCAGGGCTGTTTGTCACTGGGCGAAATGGAGCTGCTAATCAAGGGAATTAAATTCTTCTACTCCACTAGCATCTCCGCAGCCATGGTGGATCCTGATCATAAGCCCCTTCGTTCGCACTGTTTTATGGTAATGCTGTTGCTGAACTCAGATGTCTGGACCATATGGGACCCCTGCTACCGAGCTCCCAGCTATGCCAGCCCCGGCCTCTCCCAGCAGGGGCACTGTAGGGACCGAGGCAGATGGGCTCCGGGGGTTGTGGGTGGTGCAGCGCTTGGCAGAGCCCCCCCTACCTGGAGTGCCTGCGGTCCGTCTCGCAGCACCGGCGGCAGATAATCAGGATCCCGGACAGCAGGACCAAGGTCCCTCCGATGAAGATGGAGAGCAGCACGAGGAGCAGCACATACCCATCTTGCGTGTTCACCTCGCCGGGCACTGTCTGTGGGCAGAGCAGACTGAGCTACGGGGCCGGCGCACTCCCACCGGCGGTGCGGGGCAGCCCTGCACAGGGGCTTTCCCTTGGGCTCAGGCAGGCGCCTCCCCAATGGCTGCATGGTAAAGGCATTCACAGGCTTGGGGCACCCGAGGGTAGCAGGGCCCACGCTCTGACAGCTGGCACAGACAGCTCCTCGCCCCCCTCCCAGCTGGCCAGCAGTGGGCCCTCGTGAAACATGCCTGTGGCATGAGCCGATGGCAGCGTGCGTGGAGGGGACTTCTGGGGGCAGCCGGGAAGGCAGAGCAGAGGCCCATCTTCTGGCAGTGTCCAGTCCTCGCTGGCCGTGCATGAACCATTGTGCATTGAGCTGCTTACGGGAGGCATCTCTTCCTCCCCCAGGGACTTGGAGGCTGGTTTATCCCCCATACTGAGAAAGCTGATGCTCCTGCATCAGGAAAGCCCCAGTTTGCTCCACCACCTTCCCCCGCGGAACCTGGCATGTTTGCTCCATAGAGCGATGGCTGCTATTTCCCAGGGGTCTCATCCACTGATCCCCGCTCCCAGGTGCCAACGTCTCCCCCCGCCACCGGACTGCAGCCAGGACACTCCTAGGGAACAGTGACTCCTCCCTGGCCAGAGTCTCACCCCAGCCACGAACCTGGCAGCCCTCACTTGACCTGACTTCACCCCGATGATCCCTACTGACCTCCCTTTACTCCTTGGCCCCCATGTGCCCTCCTGGGAGCGGAGTCTGACTGGACCTCACCTGGGATGAAATTCCCTCCCATATCCTCTGGAAGCAGCCAAGGACATGCATGCACTGAGGGCAGGCAGCATGCAATGGGCACGGACTCTGGGTAGGCCCTTCAGTAGCCCCTGCCAGCCTGTGCAGGGAGAGGCTAGAACTGAGCTGTCCTGACTCCCAGCCCCTTGCTGTAACCACTAGATCACACTCTCCCAGCAGAGTGGGGGAACAGAACCCAGGAGTCCTGCATCCCAGAGCACAGCCATGAACCCTTAGTCCAAACTTAGGAGGCAGGAGAGGGCACGGGGGGCTGCCCCCCGGTTTAGCCCATCCCTGCTGGGTGGATCAGCTGGGGCATCTCTCACTGGACGGAAGTGACAGCTGAGGTGTGGGGGGTGGGAAAAGGGGGAGTGCTGGGGCTGTCAGGGGAGGGGAGGCCAAGGGGGCGGGGGAGAGGCATGTAACGTTGAATTGGTCTGGTGACAGGGGAGCCTTTGCCATGGCAACGCATCGGGATGTCAGGAGGAAATCAAAATCATGTGACTTATTTTTTAATTCAGCTGGAAAACGGAACGACAACCGGCTCCAGCCAGAGCCCCAGCCGCGTGCCCTCTGCCCCCGGGAGCCACCCCTCTGGGCCAAGGGCACTGGGTGGCAGCGGGGAGGGGAGCCCGGGGTGGGTGGGACAGTGACCGAATCCCAGTGCTCTCCACGCAGCAGCAGGATCAACCAGCTGAGGGTGACCCGGGCTATTCCTCTTCTTTTTCCTACCCTGACATTTGAGGGTTTCACTGCTGCCCGGGCGGGACTCTGAGCAAGCTGGGCCAGGCTTAGCTTTAAATCAGCCGTCCCGGTGCAAGGGAGAATCTTGGGGGTACCCGGAATCACACACGGTATGGGGGAGGGGACCCTGGCCTCCTGCCAGCCAGTCTGAGGCTCCAGCCCCTGCCCTGGTGGAGACGAACAAAGGCATGATGGGATATTCATCCCATCTATCCATCCACCCCTCCCTTCCCCACACCCCCATCTGTGTATCCATCCCTCTGTCCCCACACACCCATCTATCCTTCCACCCCTCCCTTCCCCACACCCCCATCTGTGTATCCATCCCTCTGTCCCCACACACCCATCTATCCTTTCACCCCTCCCTTCCCCACACCCTCATCTCTGTATCCATCCCTCTATCCCCACACACCCATCTATCCTTCCACCCCTCCCTTCCCCAACACCCCCATCTCTGTATCCATCCCTCTATCCCCACACACCCATCTATCCTTCCACCCCCTCCCTTCCCCAACACCCCCGTCTCTGTATCCATCCCTCTATCCCCACACACCCATCTATCCTTCCACCCCTCCCTTCCCCAACACCCCCATCTCTGTATCCATCCCTCTATCCCCACACACACCCATCTATCCTTCCACCCCTCCCTTCCCCAACACACCCATCTGTGTATCCATCCACCCCTCCCTCATCTGTGTATCCATTCACCCCTCCCCCATTCTGTGTATCCATCCCTCTATCCCCACACACACCCATCTATCCATCCACCCCTCACTTCCCCAATACACCCATCTGTGTATCCATCCACACCTTCCTCCCCCTGCATCTGTGTATCCAGGCACCACTCCCTCCCCAACACCCCCGTCTATCCACCCCTCCCATCCGCCCCACACCCATCTATCCATCCATCGGCCACATACTCACCCCTCCCTCCCTCTCTCGGTCTGTCCCTGCCCCCACATACTCACCCCTCCCTCCCTCGGTCCATCCCTCCCCACACATACCAACCCACCCACCCATCCATCCGTCGTGATACACACGCATCTATCTAGCTAAGCTCTGGGCACCCATCTGGGCCCAGCCCTCGTCCGTGGCTCCCGCAGAGTCATCTCCCCAGGGCCCAGCTGGAAGGTGGATGACTCATGCACTTTGCTTGCTAGCTCTTAGACTCCCTGCTGTAGTCACTGAGCAGATGTCCACTGCTGAGTGGGCGGCTGCTGCCATGGCTGCCCTGGTGTCTTACAGCCTCTGGCTCCCTCTCCCACTCGCCTGGCCCTGGGTATCTTCACCCCCATCATCTCTCTCTCCTCTGGCTTGTCTTGCACTCCTCCCCCTGAGTCTCTGTCACGGGCAGAGTCTGGCCTCTCCTCCCTCTCTCCCAGGACAGTCAGTGACCTCAGTACCACGTGCCACCCTCCTCCTAATCTGGCTGCACGAAGTCTTCCTGCCCTGGAAATACCCGCTTGCAGGTGGCGTTCTGTGCTGGGTGGGAGCTGTTGTGTGACATGACACAGGCAGCCCAAGTGGCTTTCTCCAGCTTGCTCTGATGTCATGGCAGGGGAGTGCCCGATACCCTGAGGGGTGGGCTAGCCCTGGAGAGGGAGGGGTGGAAAAACCCCAGGGGCTCCAGCTGGATACAAATCATTGGGGCTCCCCTTTCCGCCCCCCACCCCAAGAGCTGAGCTGGGGCCGGACTCCTGCATAAACTGGAATAGTCCCCTCATCTGGAGACCCCTGGCGGCTCCCTTGACTAACAATCATGTAAGACAGACAGGTCAGGGTGAATCCGGAGTGACCCCACTAAAATCATCGGAGTCAATCTGGATTTACTCTGGTTGAAGAACAGGATCTGGTCCCAGTGAGCACAGACCGATTATTAGCCACAGAGCAGGTGTAGAATGCCCGATGTGAGGTGTTTCCATTTGCACTGTGACTTTGTGACTCAGCAGAGCTGACAAAACCATGCACAGAATCAATCCCTCCCCGGATCCCAGCCTTGGGGGTCTGTAAACCATTGTGGCGGCATCAGAGGGATGACCCTTTATCAGAGCGATGACCGAAGTAGCCTAGGATGGAAGGTAGAAGGCCCAGCCCTGCAGTCCTTTCACCAGCAACCTCCATTGATTGTGGGATGTACCTGGGTGAGGTACTGTGGGTGGGGGTGAGGGGGCTTTAAGCTTATTTTCCTCTTTACCTAAGCATCAGGCCATGGTGCAAGTGGGATTAACAGCAGGTACCAGAAGCAGGTACAGATTGTCCCAGCTTGGTGGTATGAGGGACGGTGTCCCTAGCCTCTGTTTGTAGAAGCTGGGAATGAGCGATGGGATGGATCACTTGCTGATTCCCTGCTCTGTTCATTCCCTCTGGGGCACCTGGCATTGGCCACTGTGGGAAGACAGGACACTGGGCTAGATGGACCTTTGGTCTGACCCAGTGTGGCCATTCTTATGAGGCTGAATCAGGGCCTTGGTAAATCAGGGGGAGTTTTGCTATTGTGCTCTATGGATAGAGGGACATAGGAACTGCACCTGGCTAGACAGATGGACAGAATTCTACCTCTTGGCCACTCCCATCTGGTAGGACAATACCCAGAGCATCACAGAAAGGCCCTCACTTCTCATAATGCATTAGGCCAATTGTGACAGTGTTGCTTGTGGGGGGGTTAAAGGGCTTCCTGATCCCTGTGAACAAATACCTAGCCAAGGCCCTGGAGCATGAACTTTGATCCCCATTCGGTGGCCTAGCTGCTGATGTTCGTATTGATCACCAAGTGACCTGGCCCTGTTTTCAAAATCCTGCCAGAGTGTTTGACTTGCTGACCCCCAGAGGAAGGGGTGTGTCTATCACGGATGGGGAAGCTTTGTTAAATGACCTGTCCCTTTCCCCCACCCCACCCCCCAAAGAATTATATCGATGGGTACCAAAGCTCCCAGGCTGCAGCTTCCCCTGGCCTTTTCTCTCCCACTGCACTCAGACCCACACCCTGAGCAGCTGGCCCCACTTCACACCACCCAGAACAGCAAGAGAGTGATTTCCGAGCAGCAGGTGCGTCTCACTGGGGACAGGTGCTGTGGGATAATCTGCTGGGATGTCCATGGGAAGATCCGTCTCCCCCCTATTCCTGAGAACAAGGGGAAGATCCCCTCCAGCTTCCTGAGCAGAAAATCTTCCCAGGAGGTGCAGGGAAGGGAAAGACATGGATCTCAAACAGCCTCAAACCTGGATCTCCTGCCTGGGAAGGAGGCAGGTGCAAAGACTCACATGGGGCAGGGTGCCCGAGGGCAAGGGGCCAGGAGTGATGGGGGGGGATCCAGCTCCCCCCCCTTGGGGCACTTACCGTTGTGCTCTCAGTCGTGTTGTCCCATGCAGTCAAGTCATTGCTCATGGTCTGTCCCAGCTGGAAAGTCCTCCTGGAACCCGGAAGAGAAAGGCAAAAATGACACCCCGAGAACAAAAGAATGAAAAACCCGCACGTGGAGGCGAGAAGTGAAGGGGAAGCGCTGGGGCTGGGCTGGGCTGGGCTAGGCTAGGCTGGGCAGGGCAGGTCCGGTCCGGTCCGTCCTCCCCCCGCCTCGCTTCGGATCTGATCCCGGTTCACCACCCCGTTCACACGGGCTGGGGCGGCAGCACCAACCGCGGGTGGGCTCGGATGCTGCCTGCGTCCAGCCCCCGCCCCATCGCACACACACCGTCTCCTCCCTTCCCAATCCCCGCACTTCCTCGCGGCTAATGCCTGCCCAGGTAAATCGAATTAGAAAAGGGAGGAAGAAGCGGACCCAAGGCGGATCGTCCGGAGGCTGGTAGGAGTCAGGGGGCTCCTAACACAGGGGTGTGATGGGCTCGGGGTCCCCCCCCCGCCCCTTTCTCACTCTGGTTCCCTGCCCCCCCATCAGTTCCTCTTGCCTGCTCCAGCGCGCCGGGGGCTTTGCTCATCCTCTGCCCGGCAGGGAAGCCGCCAGCCCCTCTGCTCTGCAGGTTGCTGCTGCGCAGACACCGGCTCCCCCTCGCCTCCAGCCCCGGGGAATGAAGCGTCCCCTCCCCACGCGGCTCCATGAGCTCACCCGCCCACCCAGCCGCTGCAAGCCGAGAGCCTGACTCGAGCCCACGCGTGAAAGTGACTCGGGCGGGGGGGTGCTCCCAGCTCAGCGCGGCTGGATCGCTTGTGGGGAGGGGTACAACCGGGCCCTAAGGCAAGGCGGGGGGGGCCGGGCTGGAGGGGGGGCACAGTGCTGGGTTGGAGGGGGTGTGTGGACCGGGAGGGAGGGATGAATGGATGGTGTCTATATGGGGATGGATAGCTAGGGGTGTGAAGGGGAGGGAGGGGTGTGTGTGGATGGCGATGAATGGGTGGGGGACATAGGGGGATGAATGGATCCGGGGAAAGCTGCCCCCTGCAGGGATGACGCCCTGGCCCATTCACGGTCTCCCACTCTGTCATGGCTCCTCCCCAGGAGCCATCTGCCCTGTGGAGGGAGAGGAGACGCAGCCTCTCCCTAGTGAGTCCCCAGCACGGAACAGCAGTTCCTTGAGTCAGTCTCACTCACTGATCCTGGGGCCACCGTTCCCCTTTTGGGATGGGAGCTAGACGTGCCATGGAGAGCAGGTCGGTGGGGCCACACCCCCCTCCCAGAGCTGGGGCAGGGCCCAGGAGTCCTGATACAGCCCCCTGCGCCAACCACTAGACCACCTGGCTGCCTCTCTTTTGCATGGGGCACACCAAGTTTTCCAGTGCTCTTTCACGTTCCAGCCCCACACTGTCCCCACACAAACGGCAGCCTCCACATCCCGGGCCTGGATGATCAAAGGTTAAGATGAGTCACATGGTGAGGTCACCTCCTTATGCACACACAGCAACACAGGCAAACACAAACTCCCTCTCCCATCTTGTCTGCACTTGGCTTTTTGCACCCCAATCAGCCTCCCTTCCAGTTGCAACAGCCTCAGGAGAAGCCCTCCAGTAGACGAGGTGCCCGCATTTGAAACAGCCTGGCATGGTGCATGAAGCCCCAACAGCTGCCCCCGGAACCCTCTCTTCAGGAGGGGGTCCCCCCAACGCTGCCATGAGCAAAGCTGAAACAGTAGGTGATTGGAGAACCTCTCCAGCCATCTCTCGTCAGGGGCTCAGAAGGGAAAGAACCGGATGGCTCAGGGTATGGGTGATGGTCCATGGAGTTTTCATTCTCAGGGGCCCTGGCTTACTGCCATCCCGGCTCAAGTGGCAGTGTAAGGGAAAGGCGTTCAGGGGGCCCGGCTAGGAGAGGAAAACTGTCCGTGTGCTTCAGGTACTGGCTTCCTTAGGTGGGGCTGGGTTTGATTCCCACCGGTTCTGCGTGACCGTGGGAGAGTTACTGAATCTCTCTGGGCCTTAGCTGCCCTCCTGTAAAATGAGGCTAAACGAGCCCTTTGTCTAGACGCTGTGTGCATACAGCACCTACCGCCGTAGGGTCTCCGGGAATACTAACGAAATAATGGGGCTGTGAGGTCTCCAAAGCCCCCACTGCAAGTAGCACTAAGTGGCAGCTGGACTCCACCTTCTGGGTCACAGCTGGGGCTGTGGGTCAGCGGTTTAGGCTGCCTCTCTGGAAAGTCACCCTCCAGTGCAGCTAGCCCGGCTCCTCTGGCTTGCTCTGCAACTGGTTAAAGGGAAGCTGGGTCCTGGCTTTCACTGCCCTAGCTGTCACCGCGGAGACGTTCATGGGCAGTGTTTTAGCCACCACCCACGGGCGTCTCCCGAGCCCGCATCCAATGTTAGGGAAGAGCTTTGCAGCTAATTGCTGAGGGGTGGCTTCTGAAGAGAACTAGACAACATTTCAGAAGGGGGAGGGATACTGTAGCTTTCACTGCTGCCACTTTACTGTGATCTTGTCCATTCTCATAAGCTAAGTAGAATCAGGCCTGTTCAGATCTGGAAGAGGAGACCTGTAGAGGAGAAACACAGGAGCCTGTTCTCCTACTGTAGCTTGTAATTAGCTTCAGTGGATGTTGCTTGTGTCCTAGAGTGAAGCAGAGGAAGGGAGTGGTGGGGGTGACTCAGTACCAATAAGCAGTGCCCTTCTTTGAGTCAGTGGGATATTGGTGCCCTCTTTAGGACCAGATTGGAAACGAAGATGTCCTGATTGCTCAGGGTTATTAAAGACTTAGTGGTGCTTTCCACAAGCACCGGGGTGAGAGAACCTGGCTCAGTGGTTGCAATTACATTCTGCCTCCCTAGCTCCTTGAAAGCAGATGTATAGTGTTGTGTGCTGTTAACGTTGTAATCCAGAGCAGGCTGCATTTCAGTGCACGAGCAGAGCCTGGCCCTGTTAAACTCCTGAGCATGCTGCAATGTTAATGTTATCTCTGGGATACTTGGCGGGTGTGGGACTTGAGGGGGGTATTTAGATGCCTGCTGTAAGGCAAGGATTGGATTGGATTTTGGATGTTAAAATACAGAAGTGTGTACCTGAGCCTTCCTCTCTAGAGAGAGCTGTCTTCTAACTATCAGCGCAGGCTTGAAAGAGGGCTTGGAACTCCCTCTCCCCGGGGCCGTGGGTCTGTTTCATCTGCCACGTGGCCTGTTGCCAGGGACAGGAGTTTTCAAACCGCGGGGCGTTCTCCCCCCATCTCTGCTCTCCTCTGGTGACGGTCGGGGCTATTTGAAAATCCATTTGAAATCAGATCAGGAATAAAATATTAATTGAGCAGGTGGCACTGTTTTCCCTCACATCTTTTGTGTGTCCTGTCTACCGGGACGGACTCTCTCTGAGTGTCTGTGAAGCACCTGGGGCAACAGGGTCCCCATCTTGGGTGGGTCTCCATGTGTTCCTGTCATACAAATAGTAACAGTTAAAGAAGCAGGCCTCTGATTTCACGTAGCGCCAGATTGGGATTCTCAGCCACAGAGGCCTTTACCTCTGAAGGTCCCGGGTTCACTCCCCTAGGACGACTCCGTCATTGCACAGATGTTTAGGAACAGCTGAGCCAGCTACACTGAGGTCCTGTCTCACGGACAATCAGGGAAGTTTCAGAAGAAGTTATGCACCTGTCTGTGTGCCGCTATGGGCAACAGGGAGAAAAGGCCTTCCCGACCCAATGTCAGTTTCTATCTTTGCTACTTATCTGGTCTTTGTTACTATCACACCCGTGCATTTCCCCATCTCTTCCCAACCCCTCACAAGGTAGGCCAGTGTTATTATCCCCATTGTACAGATGGGGAAACCAAGGCACAAAGAGGCTAAGAGACTTGTCCTGGGTCACGCATGGCACCTGTGGCAGAGCCAGGAATTGAACTGGGCTTCCCACAGCCTAGACTGGTGCTCTAGCCACTGGACCAACCTTTCTTCCACTAGCTGCTCTACTGTCAGGGGGTGGGGTGAGAGAAGGGGTTGAGATGGGCACCCCTCCTACCTCCCTTCCTCCACCCCCCCATGCATAGATGAGAGCACTCGCCCTGGAAGGGGGAGCATGCAGGAGGGGTGCCCATGAAGATGGCGGCCGCGTAGCGAGTGAAACATCACCACTCTCTTAGCCAAGCGGTGCCATCAGCCAGGCACTGACGCCGGCGATGGGCCATCCTAGGGGGTGGCTGCTGAGCCTCTTGAGACCAGCCCCAGTGCAGGAGGCCCCAGATCAGGGACTCTGCTCCTTCTGCTCCATCCCTGCCTGGAGATGCACCCTGAGCCTAGCTCAGCAAGTTCCTCCCCTGCTCCCAGGAGGGAGATCCCAGCTGCCTCCCTCTCCCAGCTCTGAAAGCTGTTTCAAACTGCCCCGTATCATCATCCTGGTCAGTGCCAGGAGCTTCCAAGGGCAGGGTGGAGGGCTAGTGCCAGTGGGAGCTTTTGCTCACTGCACCCCTTTGTCCATACTCCCTTGGTACCCCCAGCACAGGGCTCTAGATTCTTGGGCGAGGGGCTGGCTGCCCTCCCATCCAACCCGGGGCTCCAGGCAACATAGTACTGAGTGGGGTCGGGGAGACTTGGGCTTTCAGATTGCGATGGAGAATAAGATTCCCACCCACCCCCGGAGTCCCCAGAACCCTGGGATCCCCAGCGAAACGGAAAAGAGGAGGAGCTGGAGATCAGGGGCTGGAAAGAAAGGAAGAGAACAGAATGGAGGGAGAGGGAAGAGTGAGGAGGGGACAGCAAAGCCAGCCCTATGGAGCATGGCTAGGACAAGGCCTCCCTGCCTCAACTGGCCTGAGGTCACCCCTGCCCAGGGCATCTTGAGCTGGTGCCAAACTCCCACCCCAATCCTAATGGCAGCTGGGTCTGGGCTGGCCTGCCCCCCACTCCTCCTTGCAAGGGGGCAGCTGGGGAAGGGCCTGGGGGCTGTTGTGACCAGGGAGGTGAAGGCTGATGAGAAGAATGTTGGGCCTGTTTCCCCGCATCATGGAGGAATTTCGTCTCCATGGTGACATAAAGGGGGAACAAGGCCGCCATTGTCTTGGCCCGAGCGCCGCAAGGAGACAGGCTCCTGGGCTGGCGCCGCCCGGGAAATGTTTGGCCCCAGATGAAAGGGGCCCGGGCGGGGAGGCGTGGCGATGCCGCGGCAGGCGGGCAAGAGGCCGCTTCACACTTGGTGGAAACCCAGGCCCCAGTCGACGCTGCCTGCTGCAGGACCCGGGGGGAGAAAGGAAGAGCTGGTGGGGCAAGAAGGGAGGAGGCTGGGCTGGGCCCACCATGCCTTTAGTGAGCTAATGGCTGCTGTCCCCCTATAAACTGGGCTCTGGGGAACCCTTGCAAGCGAAGCAGGGGTGGGCCTGGTTAGCGCTTGGGCAGGGGATCGTCAGAGACACGCCAGGAGCAGTCGCTCCTCTCTCAGCCAGTGCTGCGTTCGGGGGTGCAGCACTGCAGAGAGTGGGGTGGATGACCCACCCGGGGAGTTCTCCCCTTGCGGGCAGGGCTGACCCTAATGCCCCAGCGCAGGGCTCGGGGGCACTGTCCTGCAGGGAAGGCTGTAGGCCACGCCCTGAGGGAGGGCTCTTTCCTCTGAGTTGACCCCACTGGCATTAGGGGGTGCTGTGCTGTGGGGGAGGGGGTTGCAGGGGACTCAGTAGGAGTCTATGGAC